GTGAGGACCTGCATCACCTGTTGTTTCTGTGTCCTGTTGCTACCATGATTTAGAATTCAATTTCATCTTGGTTTGGTGTCGAGGTCGCTTTTCGTGGGTGTTTGTGGGAGTTCCTTTTTGGATTGGTGTGGCAGGGGCTCTTCTAGTTTGGGTAGCATTAAGTTGGGATCGATTTGACTGGCGGTAACTTGAATTCTTTGGAAGACTAAAAACAAAATTATCTTTAAAACTGGTAGATGTTGCGATAACGACATAGTTTGGAATATTAAGTTTGTAGTTTGGTTTTGGTCTTGTAATGGGGAAATTCTCTATTCCAATTCAATTTTTTTTGCCTTTTGTTCTGACCCTATTAATTGCTTAAGGTAGTTCGAATTTGGTTGTGAATTTTCTCTTATTACTTGTTTTATTTTAATTGTATCGGGTTCAAATGTTATTAATCCCATTTGATTTTAGAAAAAATAAAAAAAAAATGGTAGATGAAAAAAATTAATCTATTTTCTGATCTTTTACAATTGGGTATTATTCATGTCACTAGTGTATCTTATATTGCATTTTTCATAATTGGATTGACTTCTTTTTGCTTTCTTATGTATATCATTAAGTAATGGGATTGCAGCATATCATTAATAAGAGCAAGTTAGTCAAGCTTATTTATGTATTTGGAGTAGCTTTTTATTTTGTATGATTAAAACAACTACTAGTGTTTCAGATGAAACTTTAGATTGAGAAGCTATTTTTTTTCCTAAATAAACACTAAACTAGTTAAAATTAAGTGAAAAGTAAATATGTATTTTCTCAAAATATCAAATATATGGCAAAATAAATGTATTGTTGTTTCTTTTTTAGTTATGGTCGGTATAATTACAAAATAGTTATTGTTATTTTATTTTACACATAATTAATGTTTTAAGGAGATTTTAACGGGTTGAGATCCATTCCATTTCTTTGTCCCTCTATTTTCTCCATTATTATAATTTTGTGTGTAAATAACACACATTTTTAAGACATGTGACATATAATTAATATTTAGTTAATTTTATATACAACAAAACTATAGTAATGGAGAAAACGGAGAGACAAAAAATGGAATGGATTCCAACCCAATTTTAACTTCCAAAAATATAACCTCTCCAATTTAAATAAAATACATCTTTTATAATACATATATTTACAAACTTATTAACTAATACCTATATGTCATATTTCAGAATTTTAACAATTCTTAAGGACAAGTATGTAACATTATTTAGACCAAAACAAAATATTAAATAATGTCTTTACAATTAGAGTACAAATCCAGATATTATGCACTTCAATATGATGCAGATGGCACGCGAGCATATCCAATTACAGTTTAGCTTGTACGAATGTAGTATACTACTGTAAGATATTGTGTTGTGAATCAGATACCTTTAAACAAAGTATAAACGGTTTCTTAGCAAGAAACACACAAAAGTTAGGGTTAATAAAGAAGAAAACAACAAGGATTGGTTATTAAACTGCTATTCTTTCCTTTCTCTTAGAACAAGATTACAAGTATACAAGAATAACAAAATAACATCTCTCTCTTGAAATTAGGATTTTATCTTCCTATTTTTCCTTATATCAAGATTGAGAAACTAGTATCCTATTTATAAGAAAAATAACACACTAACATAATGAGCTTTTTAACAATTATCCATTACAAGCTAACTTAGAGTACAAACTAACTTAAACAATTGGGCTTACAAACAAGGCCCAATTCAACATGCTAACAACCCTAGAAATATTGACTAATGCATGTTAGAACAGACTTCGACTACAACATGCATTACTCGCGAACAGACTTCGACCATACTAGAGTTCGATCCAACATCTCACAAATCTCCACCTTGGATCTAACTCTATAACATCAAGAAACTAGCTTTCTTCATGCAGCTTTATTAACTGCATACAATGGAAAAACTTGCAACTGGACAACGTCTTGGTGATCATATCCGTAGCATTATGATCTGTCGAAACCTTCAGCACTTGGACTTCTCCACGCTCGATTACCCCTCTGATGAAATGCAGCCTCACATCAATGTGCTTGGTTCACTCATGATAGGCTGAATTCTTCGACAGGTGTATTGCACTTTGACTATCACATTTAACAGTGATAACTCGACCTTGAAGTTTTAGCTTCTTTGCAAAACCTTCAAGCCACAATGCTTCCTTCACAACTTCAGTTAGGGCAATATACTCCGCTTCAGTGGTTGGTAAGGAAACGACCTTCTGAAGTGTTGCCTTCCAACTGATTGTTGTCCCAAACATAGTGAACACATATCCAAAGATAGATTTTCTGGAATCCATACAACCTGCATAATCAGAGTCGACATATCCTTCGATTGCTGCTTTACTATCTTCACCCAAGGTTCCACCATAAATTAGGACTCTATTCAGAGACCTGTTTATGTACCTTAAAATCCACTTTAATGCTTGACAGTGAGCCTTTCCAGGATTCGCCATGTACCTGCTTCCAAGACTTACTGCATATGTTATGTCGGGTCTAGTACATACCATATCATACATCAAAGAACCTACTATGTTAGCATATGGAATGTTATTCATAAAAGTTTTTTCAATATTAGTGTTGAGACACTGATCTATACTCAGCTTAAATTAAGGGTTTGTCGGAGTCACAACAGGCTTTGAAACTTTTCAACTTTGTCACCTCCTAGCAGGTTTTGCTTCCCCAATTCGACCAGACCTCTTTCGCTGACATGGCCCAATCTCATGTGCCATAATTCTGTCTTCGACATAAGTTTCGTGGATGCAACATTTGTCGAACCAGTTACAACCTCAGCCTCAAGGGTATACAAGCCTTGTTTTTTCATGCCTCTCAAGACTTCCTTCGACCCCTTCATGACCCTTAGGATACTTTTCTCTCCTTGAAAAACGTATCCTTTTCTGTCGAATTCACCAAGAGAAATCAAATTTCTCTTCAAGTCAGGTACGTACCTGACTTCAGTCAATAACCTTATTGACTCATCATAGAGCTTGAATCTCACAGATCCAATATCTGCAATTTTGCAAGATTTGTTGTTTCCCAGCAGCACAGATCCATCATCTTGATCACATAGCTCCTCGAACAATTCTCTATTTGGAGTCATGTGCCAAGTGCAACCTGAATCCATAATCCACTCTTTCCTCGAGTCGCCACTTGAAACCACAAGAACATCAGATGAGTCGAAGTCATCTTGAACAATGGCTGCATTGTCATCACCTCCATGATCTTTCAGGCGTTCAGGGCACACATTTCTTATGTGATCCTCCTTCTTACAGTGATAACATCGAATACTAGATGTTTCGCCACTATAAGACTTCTGTTGACTTTTACCTTTCTTCTTGTCGAACTTACCATCCTTTCGCAAGAATTTTCCCTTAACGGCCAAACCTTCACCCACCGTCGAAGGTTTATACTCCTTTCGTTCGTTCAAGTCCTTAGAGTACAAAGCTGATTGAACTTCTTCAAAGGTCAGGGACTCCCTTCCATACAAGAGAGTTTCTTTGAAGTGAGCATGTGATTTGGGCAAAGCACATGACAACAACAGTGCTTGATCTTCATCGTCGATCTTCACATCAATATTTTCAAGATCAAGAATCAACTTGTTGAACATATCCAACTGCTCCGCCAACACTTTGTCTTCTCTCATCTTGAATGAATATAAAGCTTGCTTCAGGTAGAGTCGATTCACCAGAGATTTGGTCATGTACAAATTTTCAAGTTTCACCCATAATCCCGATGATGTAGTCTCCTTTGATACCTGTCGAAGAACCTTATCACTAAGGCTCAACAATATTGCGCTGTGGGCTTTCTCGATCATGCCCGTCTTTTCTTTTGCCGTTAACGCAGCGTCCATGACTGCCTCACCCTTCAACGCTTCCAAACAACCCTGCTGAACCAATAGGGCTTTCATCTTCAAGCGCCACAGACCGAAGTCGTTCACTCCGGTGAATTTTTCAATCTCATACTTTGTTGAACACATCTTCTCCACGCTCACCGCACCAATTTGTTGTGAATCAGATACCTTTGAGCAAAGTATAAACGGTTTCTTAGCAAGAAACACACAAGGGTTAGGGTTAATAAAGAAGAAAACAACAAGGATTGATTATTAAACTGCTATTCTTTCCTTTCTTTTAGAATAAAATTACAAGTATACAAGAATAACAAAATAATCTCTCTCTTGAAATTAGGATTTTATCTTCCTATTTTTCTTTATATCAAGATTGAGAAATTAGTATCCTATTTATAAGAAAAATAGCACACTAACCTAATAGATTTTTTAACAATTACCCATTACAAGCTAACTTAAGGTACAAGCTAACTTAAACAATTGGGCTTACAAGCAAGACCCAATTCAACATGCTAACAACCCTAACAATATTGACTAATGCATGTTAAAACAGACTTCGACTACAACATGCATTACTTACGAACAGACTTCGACCATACTAGCCTTCGATCCAACATCTCAAATATTGAAAATGCATACTACTATATGATATTGAAAATGCCTCAGTCTATAGTTATAATATGCATTGTACAGTACTACAGCAATATTAAATGTCTCTGCGTATACCTTTTTTTTATAACATAGAATTACACTTTTAGATTTATGAGTATTAGTATTAATAATATTTTATAATTATACTTTAGATTAAATGAAAACTAATCTAATTTTAACTGCAGAAAATTGATTTGGATCAGTCATTTTGAAGAATCATCAAAACCATATCAAACTACAAATATTTCAATATTTGAATCGGATAGTTTTTTTTACTCATAATTGATCCAAATCACATTTCAGATGAAAAAAGAGAGGTAAAGTGACAAATAATCTACCAAAGCCCTAAATTATGTTAATAATAATTGACAGTAACAATTAACAAACTCTGTATAACATCAAGAACTATCTCATTTTTCTCAGGTTATTGCATCCTAGCAATGCTGTCAGGGCTTGAACAAACATTACAATATATCAGTCACAGATTATACGCCTATTCAACGCATCTTCAAAGCGGCTACATGATCCCACCCTCATTTCCGTGCTCATATCATTCTCGGGAGCTGGATAGTAATCCTCCCTCAGCTGAACATCCCTTAGGTTTGGTATTTTGAGGAAAAAGTTCATGAAGTGCTCATGAGTTGTTCCATGAATGAAAAGCTTCCTCAGAGTATAACATTCCTGTAATAAACCAGCAGCTGGAAGTGAGAGACTCCTCTGGTTCACATCCTCATCTTGTGGTGGCCAGTAATGAAGTTCATTTAGACTCAAACTGCCAATCCCATTGAGGAAGAATCTCTCCCACAAGCTCAAATCCATCTGTCCTGAAGGGGCGGTGTATACATAGCCTCTTGTTTCACCGCAATCCAGCTGCATCTTTGACAACTGAGGATAACAAGTCAGAATGCTCAGACCAAATTCACTCACAGCTGGTTTTGGTTTCCCTCTGCAATCTCCTTCCATTTTTATGCGAATCTCTTCTAGATTGGGGCAATCCTCTAACCCTACCACTGGCAACTGAGTCAGAAGATCACCAACCTTTATCCAAAGTGAAAGGTAATGTAAACTTTCCCAACTATTGCAAGAGTAGCCATTGTAGTTGCCGTTACTGTTACCATTGCTATGCACAAATGAATCATCATCCTCGAATCCATACTCACATCTCTGCCTCTTCCTTTTACTAGTATCTTCTCCATATTCCTCACCCCCAAAGCATTCCATTAATTCAGAATCATTCAGTTCAGCTGAAGCATTCAAGTCAAAGTTGAGAAAACTATGTCCAAGGTTGTCACTTTCCTTCCAAACACAATCCAAGTGAAGCCTCTCAATCCTGTCCCGAATGGGCTCCAAAGCTCTGAGAGTAGCAGCTGCATCAAGGTTGACACAGGAAGCAACCTTGACATCAATCAATGTCCTACGAAGCAAGCAAGTCATGGTTTTCAATCCTTTTTCCGTAACAAGCTTGCATCCCTGAATCTCAAACCTTACCAACCGGGAACACCCCCTGCCAATCTCAATCAACCCCATGTCATCGAGGTCACCACAACAGCTAACAGACAAGGATTGAAGCCCGTGGCAAAGTGCAATTCCATCGAGCCGCGACCCAATTGCCAAACAAATCCCTTGAAACTGACCCAACTTCACGACCTTCAGATTGGGGCACTTTGAACTTAACATCTCCAAAGCAAAACTACTCTCAGTGACATTTTTACAAACATCTAGAACCAGTTCTTCCAAAAGGGGAAGCCCGGAGAACAAAGCTAGAAGTGTGGCACGGCTTATACTAGCATCCTCTCCACCCTCTTCCTCTCTACGATTTGAAAACGACGACGTATCAGCCATGTGAAGTAGCGAGAGCTTGGGGCAATTGGAAGCGATGGCCAACAGCGTTTCATCGCCTACAAATCCGATGTATCTCGGATCAAAAGTGCAAGCTACGAGAAAGTGCTCCAGGTTAGGACACGATGAGGTGATGGATTCGATTTGGTTAGACTTGAAGCCTTCCGTGAACGTTGTTAAGAGATTCAGACGGCGGAGCGACACAGCAGAGGCAGCGTTTGCTGCTAGAACCGGTGGGAGATCCTCCGGCCAGTGGTAGAAAGTAGATAAATCCAGCGATGTTATCGATCGACACCGCGAGAACAGGGCGGCGAAGTCGGACCCTGGCTGCAACCCCGGCGGACGCTGGTGCCATCGGACAAGACGAACGTCACGAAGCTCCGGCCAGTGGCTATACAATAGGAGATGCAGCGTTTGAGGGTCACGCACATAGACAGTGAGTGAAGTCACGAGCGGGAAAGCATTACGGAGACGCTGAGCTAGAAGCGGAGAATCAGCAGTTGCGGGTGAACAGAAGAGCGCGTGACCCCACGGCGAGAGAAGAGAGACATCAAGATTAGTAACATGCGCGAAGGAAGTTGGAATCCTGTGAAGGTCACGCGCGTTCCCACGGAGCGTGAGTGAGACTCTCGTCTTCCGCTCTAATCGGAAGAAACTCCGACAGACAAGTGACAAAGAGTTTCTCGTCCGTGTATCAGTGATGCCAGCAAACACTTGAGACAGAATCTCCTCCGGAAGGTGAGCGACGGTAGTATCAACCATCGCCGATAAGAAGATTCCAACTTTTTTAGGAATATAAAGTGAGGACTTATTGAAGAGTTGAATATGAATGATATGATATTATGGATTTGTGGCAGCTTAATATGTAAAGAGTATTTGATTGGATGGTAAGGGATGTGTATTGGTATTAGTCATTCGAATGAAAACACACTTTGTTGGTTGGGTCAAGCATAGCCACGTGAATACCATGTACATGTCTATACTAAAAAAATGTTGTGTGTGAGAGAGAGAGAAAGAGAGGGGTTGAAAAGGAGTGGTGGTTTGGATTATTGTAAAAGGCATGGCAAGGTAAGAAGCCAGCCATGGGAAAAGGGGGTAAAGGTGGTAATGAAATCTGTATGTACATTATTATTATTATGATTAAGATAAAGGAAAAAAGAATACAGACAAAAAATTGGGTCCACAAATAGGACCATTTAATCCCTTATCAGATAAAGAAAGAAAGAGGGTTCATATCACGTTGGATTGAACTTTGTTTATTTTTCTTTTTTTTTTGGTATCTTGTTCAATTTTTCTTTCTATCTACTTACTTTGTCAAGCTCTGTCTTTTCCATCTGAATTGGATTTGGATAGGAACACACAGCAAACTAGTGCAACATACACTTGGCATTGTAATTATCACTATTGGATATTCATACTTTTTCTTTAAATAAGACCGCCGTTGAATTAATAGTACTATACACTACTAAGTTATCAAAATTGATATCCATTACTCTAACACTATGTTTAGATAAATGATAAATAAAATATGATAATATAATGTGTCTCGTTTATAACATCTTATTGTTTTAGGCCCAAATTGTTTACATTTCGATGTTTCACCTATAACATCTATTCATTCTGATTTTATTTATTTACGGGAAAATATTAGGTCAGATCATTTCTAATGGACCAGGTCAAGAAGGCTATTGTATGACTAAATACAATTTATTATTTATCATTACTTTTTTATGTTGGGTCATCATGAGGAGCATCTATATTAGATTAAGAGAAACATACAAGTGACAGAGACATCATATATTCACAAAAAACTTTAAGGTGATAGGTGTATGGGTCCTCTCACTTATAAAGTGTTCAACCTCCACTTTTCTAAGCAATGACTTCCAACTTACACTTGTACACAACAATCTTCCCCTCAAGTGTGAGTTCATCCACTATACTCATCCTCAAGCGGAAGCTCTTTCATCCACATACACTTGTACGTGTCTGTTGTAGGTACTACAACGGAACACGCCGCCTGACCACCACAACGTCAGGAAGACTTTCGATACAAGGAGTCAGTCCCTTAATTTAACCATCGGCTCTGATACCATTGTTGGATAATCATGAGGAGCATCCACATTGGATCAAGAGAAACATACAAGTGAGAGAGACACCACATATTCATCCAAAACCTTAAGCTGGTAGGTGTATGGGTCCTCTCACTTATAAAGTGTTCAACCTCCACTTTCCTAAGTAATGTGGGACTTCTAACTCACACTTGTACACAATATTTTATACATGCAGACAAAATATTTAAGTCATTGAGTGAGGTAGAGAAAGTAGAGAGCTTCATGATGAATCTGACAGAATATGAGGAAGAAGACACCAGATTAGTGTCACTATCGTTAGCCAAACTCTCAAAAGAAACAAACATTGTTCTCCCCCACAAACTTCTAATCCGCTCTCCCTGATCTTTGTTTCAATGTTTTCAAGCATCAATTCTACAAGTCATTTCACTTTAAAACAAGTTGGGATTCCACAACTATCCTAAATGAGTCACACATGCAAATAAAAATCATAACTAAGAATAAATGAGAAAAAAGATAGTTAAAATGTTACCTACAATGGCTAGCGAATGATAAACAAGGGAGGAGAAAGAAAGTTGAATAGAAAGTGCATGAGAACTCTGTGTAAAAGCAAAAGTTGAACTGACTTAAAATAATAAGAGATAATGCTTACTTAAAGGCGTGAGTGGCAGATAATAAAAAGGTGATCACACTTAAGGTTAGTATCCTTGGGGTGTAGAGTTAATGATGCCATGACTTTAATGTGAGTTTCAAGGCAGTAAGTAATAATTAAATTTAAATCCCTAGTAAAAGTAGGAATTTCAATAGAAAGAAAGAAAAGCATATAGGATAGAGCATGACTTTGTATATCCCTTACAAAGAGACAAATATATGTTCCCCATATATTAGAAATAATGTACATTTCAGTCTCTCACCTAAAGTGTCTCGCCACTTCAGACCTCATACTTGAGAAACTGTGTACATATGATCTCTCATCTATAGCATATCTCCCTTTTAGGTCTCATGCTTGAGGAATAGTGTACACTCTAATATCTGACCTAAAACATCTCTCACATTAAAGCCTCATACTTGAGAGGTTATATATATTCTAATATTTCATCTAAAGCATTTGGGTTGGACCCGAACTCGAATGTAACTTAACCTACCTCGACCTAATACACTCACATGGAAGGACTAGGTTGGATCATTCCTAATAGGTCAGTCCGAGAAAAATGACCTAGAGCTAAATACAACTTATTCCCAATAAATACCCTTTAAAAATGCAGATAGAGCATTTAAGCCATTGAATATCCTTAAAAGGCCGACCTCAGACAAGGAAACACGTGACTTGATTATCTTTATTGCTTTCAGCTAGGCAAGGAGACATGTATCATAATGCCAAATAAACCAGTCATAAAAGACTCAAAGCATAAAAGGCCTTATATAAACTTGAAATTACCAAGCATAATAGAGATATTTTTATATGATTCATAATCAGATGAACAAACGACTTTGATTGGTCTGATACTTGTAGTTATAAACTAATGTTCCATTTTAGAAATAAAGATTTGGATGTTGTTGATGAATTGAGGATCTTGAGCCACTGGTGTTGATCTCCGTCACGGCGGCGCCAGGTGGACCTACATAGTTAGTGTCACAATTGCAAAAAGGGTCGGCAAAAACAAACAGAAGAGTCGCCACCGAACGTTATTTATCCCAAAGAGAGGGAAAGGAAACGATCGAAGAAAATCTAAAAGAATGGAAAAAGACAAGGTCATCGTAACCAAATCTTGGGTTTGGGAGTCGGTTACGCAAGGGGAAGGTATGAGCACCCCTCACGTCCGTTGTACTCAACGGGATTCATGCTTATTGTCTATCAAGGGGTGAGTTATCTAAAAGCTACTGCTAAACAGAAACGGGAAAAGGAAAAGAAAAAGGAGACTCGATAGGATATCGTCGCCCTATGCCTATGTATTCCCTCGTGCAATGGGAAAGTCAGAGTCAACGTAGTTCGAGAAACTATGGGTTATGGGGGAAGGTTGCTCGCTAAGACATTGTCGTCTTGTGCTTATGTATCCTCATCTGGTATGAGAAATCAGAGCAAACATAGTTCAGGGCTAGAACACTGGTTGGTTAAGTGTTTTTTATGAGTGATGTTAAGTTCTCATTCCAGCAGTTAGGGTCGATGCCTGTTTGCAGTAGAACGGAAAAGTAACGTGCTTTTTTCTAAAAATGATTTTAAGAACCATCCTGAAGGATAAAAAGATTTGAATTTGGTTCAAGAGTTTTAGAGAAGTGAATTGAAATTATTTGAGATTCACGTTGCACTAAAGACTATGACATAAAAGCGAATGTGTCGCATATCGCTCAATGGGCATACACTAAACACTATAGACAAGTGAGGAGAAATCCCCCACTCATTATTTCTCATGTACTTAAGGCTCATAGCGTACAACGCTTGTCATTCTTTATTAAGTGTCTTAATAAAGTTTGAGATGAGAAGAGAAGACACAAAGAAACACTAAAGGGAAACTGAAAACCCTAATGTTATCATACAAAATGGTCCTAAGGTTAGGATGAAAGGGAAGTCTACCTAATGTTATCATATATATGATGGACCTAGAGTTGAGGTCAAGAAGGGATTATCCTAACTGTTATCATGCAAATGATTGAAAGCCTAATGTCTATCCTACTCCCATCTTAAATAGAGGGAATAGGAATCCTAAGGGATCATGTGAGCATGCACAAGTAAATAATATGTAATTCAATCACAAATGAAAACAAGGATAAAAGAAGTCTCAAAGAGAGAGAAGAAGAAAGACGAAGAAGAAAGGTGCATAAGGAACAACAAGATGCATATGCAAACAAAAGAGCAAACAATCAAGACCAAAGCCTCAAACACAAACATGTCAAATTCATGCAAGATGGACAAACACCTCAAGTCATCATATCATAGATGCACCACATCAAAGATGTGCAGTCAAAGCACAAAGATAAAGCAAATCAAACACAACCAATCAAATGGTCCAAACACTCCACAAGAAGCAAAACCAAACAAAACAAAATGAAATCAAAATGACCCAAGGAACAAGGTAGGGTGGCAACATAACATGATTAATAAGGAGACAATCAAATATGAGTGCATATGAGAGATCACTTAAGTTTGAAAATCAAAGTCAAACTTCAAAGTGAATCAACCATCATAAACATCCACAAATGAGATCACACTCAAGCAAACATCAAAGATCCAAATGACTTGAAGAGAAGTCAAAAAATCACCCCACAATGGATCAAAATCATTTATTCACCCATTTGCAATATAAATCAAAATAAAAACAAATAAAAACCCTAAAAATTAGAAAGAAGAAGCCAAGGTATGGATGAAAACCCAAGGACATCACTGTAGGTCTAGGACCATCATAGGATCATATGAGGATTTCTTCATCATTTTAAAATGCCCAAAAATAATTTTAAACTAATTAAAAACAAGCAAGTAGATCAAAAATACATGAAAATATCCAAAAAAAGAATAAAAAACCAAAAAAATCACCATAGGTTCAAAACCATCATAGGATCATATGAAAAACATTCCATAATTTTAAATGGCTCAAAAGTATTTTTAAACCAATTAAAATTAACCAAAACAAATAAAAATTCAAAATAAAAATGCACAAAAATAAAAAACGGAAAGAGAAAAATAAAAGAGAATTTTAG